GAAGGTGTCAAACTTAAATTCAAGCTCTGGAGTTGTAAAGAGTGTCAGAGGAAGCAGAGGGGTGGAAACTTTAATAGGCCTTAGGTATATGTCTGTAAATGTTAATGGGTTATGTAGCGGTATGAAGAGAGATTGATTTCGTAATTTTCTGAATATAAAAATCTAGAGTGGATCGGTTGTGTCCTGCAGGAGCCAACAATTTCCAAAGAGGAGTTAGGGTGTTGGAGGTGGAGGATTTCGGGTAGTTCCCTGCATCTCCCCAGTCTAAAAAGGTGGTGTGGGAATTTTAATTAAGGGAGACGAGCCCATTTGTTTTGCAGAAGATGCGAGGGAGGAGGGGGATGAGGGTGGGGGTTGCGTGTGGATGGGTGGTGGATGGGTAAGCGTTGTGTCTTTTGTGAGTGTATATGCGCCGGCAGAAAAACATATAGGTTGAAGAATGATTTTGTGTGTGAGGATCTTGTGTTTTTCTTAAGTGCACTGCCAGAGGTGGCGATAGTTCGTGGGGACTGGATGTGTTATCAGGCAGTGGCTGATGTGACCCAAAGGGGCTGGTTTATGTCTGTGGTTCGGGGGATTTATTAAGGGATGATAGGTTACGTGATGCCTTTGCGGGGGGTCGGTGTGTGGGGAGACTGAAAATAGTTTGTAGGAGTGGATATGCTGCGAGACTAGATAGAGTGTACCTTTCTCAGGGAGTGGATGTGAAATCTTTCAGTACTGTTGAGGGCAGTGGTGGTGGAGGTTGGGTGGGGGACGCTCGCGGACATATATAGAAGTTATTGAAATTAAATTTAAGTGTGTTAGGTGATGAGGAGGGATTGGAGAGTTTTCAGTCCCTCCTTATGGAGGGAGCTTAGTGTGGAAGAAACAGGGAGTGGATGACATTATGACATGGTGGGATAGTGTTGCAAAGGAAAGGATTAGAAAGTTTTATGTGAGAGATGGAAAACGTATTAATTAATTTTAATATATGGGACTGCTAACTATTTAGATGGATAACGTTATGAGGTTGCTATGGGTGGGGGGTGGGTGGAATATTTTCCTATGGATGAAATAGCTCTGAAATAAAGGGGAGGTTGAGGGTATTGCAAAATGAAAAGGTTCAAGCTGTAAGGTTGCAGGCAGGGGTGGAAGAAGTGCTTTGGGGCGACAAGCATCAGCGTGTGTTATGAGGCATCAAAGCAAAGGCAGGCGAGTGACAGCTATCCCATGTTTAGAAGTAATGGAGATGATTGGGAATTATAGAGCAGGGCAGGAGATACGAACCCAACGGATGTGTGCGTATATGCGGAGGCTTGGTACGAAGAAGTACTGGTAACAGTGGGGGGGTGGGTGGACATGGACGTTGGAAAAGGTGTGTACGTATGTGGACGTGTAATTTTTAGGAAATAGTGATAAGAAAGGCTTTTAGGTGGGATATTACGGCAGCGAAATAGAGATTGCGTAATGGGAATGAGGTAAGAGGAAAGCGCCGGGTATTGATGGGTCTTCCGGTAGATTTTATTTAAACATTGGACTGTTCTTAAGGGGATTTATAGTTAGATTATTTAATCGTATGAAGGAGAAGGGTAAGTTGGGGAGAAGAAGGGATCAGCCAGTAGTTAGTGTTGGTCCGAATGTCAAGGGGCAGCCACCCTTGGAGTACCGAGCCATGTCACTGATGTGTGGAGACTGTTAGGGTGTTTGCAAAAATTAGGTAATATGTTCAAATGTGTTATGGGAGGTGTTGATGTCAAAATTCTCAGGTTTGGGTGCCGGGAAGGTCGATTGATTGGAGGGGACATGGGATTACTGAGAAGATTGTGGAAGCTAAGGGTGGGGGTGGGAGGGGGGGCTTTGGTGGCATAGAGTGGCAGGGAGATATGATAGGTGGAAAGGGGAGCGTTGAGGTTGGGTTATTACTTAGGAGACAGGGTTTTTGGGGAGGAAATAGTCGAGTGGGTAATTAGGTTATAAAGGGGACGAAAATGGGGGATACAGATTCATGGGTGTATGGGGAGGGATATTGCAATGGGTAGAGCGCCTTAGACGGGATGCCATGTCCCAAAAATTGCTTACATTGTTTCCAGGACCCCTTTTATAGAAAGTTGACCTCCCAGCTTATGTACGCCATGGAAGGATGTGTGGGGGGTGGGAGGGCCTGGCGGGTTTAATTGGATATGGGACTGACACACTGTCTCAATCGTGAAGGGTGTCAATGGGAGTGTTGGCGAGGTGTGCAAATATTTGGAAGTGCCACAGGTATGCAGGGTAAATTGTGCGAAGTTCAAGGCTCGCATGGGTTGGGTTCTTGGGTAGGGGGGTGTGGGGGGGAGATGTAATGTTGTTAAAGAATGGGCAGTGTCTTTAATAGATTTGTGGTATTATTTTATAAGGATGACATGGTTTGCGGCACGGGAGTAAAACTCGGATAGGTTATTGGAATGCGAATCGTGGGGCGTCTAGGTGTTCTGAGACCCAGCACCTAACTCTTATACAGCGGAGATGTCGAAAACATTTTATTGTATAGTAAGATTTGGGCATGTTGAGCTGTGTTCCATTACAGGAACAGTGATTGCGGGGATTCTAAGATGGGGTGGTACAAATTTTTGTGGGGTTCACGTTGTGATTGGTTATGGAGGGGAAGTTGTAATGTTACCTGTAACGTCAGGGTGGGTTGGGGGTTGATGGATTTTGAGACAGAGGGCTCAAAAGGTGTGTTTATTAAATGAGGGACAGTGTTGCATGAGGGTGTGAACGCGGGGCTGTTGGAAGGATACACGACAGGCTGGGTATGTGGTTATCGACGAATGGAGTTGAGGGAATGCGAAATCGTTTTGAGGGCCGTGATGTTGGTTAGGGAGCTGAGAAAAGAGTTCGTATAAGGGTTTTGTGTAGGTTACTTGTAGTAGGTGCGTTATCCAAGTTGAGGGTTTGTTCCCCATGTAGCAGGGAAGAGTATTTTTGTTTAGATTTGTAAAATGAGTTCGTGAAAACCCTCAGTGCGCATGAGGTGATGTTTCGTTTTCATGCATTGGATCTTCCGTCTGGTGAAGATACTACGAAACAACAGGTTGTAGGGGTGGGGGGTGTGTGGTATCTGTGGAGGGGAGAGACTGCGTTCCATGTAGTTTACTTTGCGAAGGGATAGAGGAGGTTAGGTGCTGGTTAAGTAGGTTGGTACAGAGGGTGGGGGGCCGTTGGGGTGTAGTTCTGCATGCTGTTAAGTCTAGATATGGTTGGGCTAGACGAGGTGTCATAAGAGCTTTAGATTATATTCATGGTAGATTATATATATAGTCGTGGGTGTGAGGGGGAGAGGGGATAGTGAGGAGAGAAGAAAAGGTTCTTGCGGTAACGTTCTACCGTACGATGTGTCGTAACAGAGATTTGTATGGGAGGAGGTGGGATCAGGTTTTCTCAGAGGGGTATAGAATGCTAACGTTAGGGATTCTCGTAAATCTGTGATTGATAATGAGTGAGTGAAGGGGTTTTCATAGGTTGGGGGAGTCAGGGGGTCACAACGGGCTCGCCTCCTTTGGGGGGGATGGTCGTGAGAGTGTTGTGAATGTGGGTTTGGAAAGGTTTCCTGGTTTTCATTGAGACTTTATGGCAGCCAAGTGTGGATGTAGAGCTCAAGGTCTCGTTATGGTAGATATAACACTTTTCAGAATGTACGTATAATATAGTAGATTTTTTTATGTATAATTTTGATGTGTATCAGTCTTGTATGACACGATTCTTGAGTAGTAAGTTATTTGCGACATGAAGTGTGTTTTAGTTTGTATTTATGTTACGTGCTGAGTTTTTGCACGATTAGATATACTTATATACTGCTCTGCTTTGAGCATACAGTGCATCTGTTTAATTTAATTTTGTGAAAGTTTTCGTGTGTGTGTGTGTGTGTGTGTGTGTGTGTGTGTGTATGTGTGTG